GCAGCTTCCCCTAGAAGAATCGAATCCCTAAATTCGATTTTGTGTTTGCAATTCGGAAATTTTTGCCTCTGTGGAATTCATCTCGCTGCCAATTTTCATTCATGGGTGAAATTTGAAGAAATTGGGAGCTGATGGGTATGTAAAAGTTCTATTTTTTTATTTTTCACAACTTCAATTTAGTTTTTTTATGTAACATGTTTTGTAATTCTCTGATACTGTCGTTTTATGTTGTTTTGTTGTTAATGTTTATCATGTTTTTATTTTAAATGATATTGTGTTTGGGATAATTGTAGCTTAGGTCACTGAATTTGTGTTGGTTTTTCATAAGTCATGATTTAGTTGGATTTTGCTGAGGAATCATGTGTGTGAAAATTTGGGAGATTCTAATGTTGTTTAAATGTTAGTGTTTGCAAGTTCAGTTATTTAAGTTCAAGGTTTGTGTTATTTGTTTTGTTTGTTATATAGATTTTATTAGCAAACATGATTTAGAGAACCTTGTTATTTGATTGGATGTGATGTGACATCATCTGATGTTGATGTATTGGTTGCAGCTCGGATTTAGATGTTGACGATGTTAGGTATAATATACCGGAGAAGATGTCAGTGATGAAGAGATTGAAGCTTCAGAATTGGAGAAGCGGATGTGGAAGGATCGTATCAAACTCAAAAGGATCAAAGAGAAAGAAAAGCTTTTAGCGCTGCAAGCTGCGGAGAAGCAAAGCCGAGGCAGTCGTCTGATCAAGCTCGTAGGAAGAAAATGTCGAGGGCTCAAGATGGGATTCTCAAGTATATGCTGAAGCTTATGGAAGTCTGCAAAGCTCGTGGGTTTGTGTATGGGATCATTCCTGAGAAGGGGAAGCCGGTTAGTGGTTCGTCTGATAACATTAGAGCCTGGTGGAAGGAAAAGGTGAAGTTCGATAGAAACGGCCCTGCAGCTATAGCGAAGTATGACCGCGGAGTGTCTTGCTATGACTGAGGCTGAAAATAACCGAAACGGGAATTCTCAGAGCATGCTCCAAGACCTGCAAGATGCAACGCTTGGGTCACTCTTGTCTTCTTTGATGCAACACTGTGATCCTCCTCAGAGGAAATTCCTCATTGGAAAAGGGTGTTCCTCCGCCTTGGTGGCCGACTGGGAATGAAGATTGGTGGTCGCATTTGAATTACCTCATGGTCAGAGTCCTCCTTATAAAAAGCCACACGATTTGAAGAAGATGTGGAAAGTCCGGAGTGCTAACTGCTGTTATAAAGCACATGTCACCTGATATCGCAAAAATAAGAAGACACGTTCGTCAATCAAAATGCCTGCAAGACAAGATGACAGCAAAGGAAAGTTCGATTTGGCTAGGGGTGTTAAGTCGAGAAGAAGCTCACATTAGACAGCCTAGTATTGATAATGGTATTTCTGGAATAACCGAGACACTACCTGTTGGTCTTCTCATTGAGAATAAGCAACCTGCTGCTAGTAGTGCTAGCAACTATGATGTCGAGGGTATTGATGACAATGTTGGTTCTGTTTCTTCTAAAGAAGACAAGTGCGCTCATTGTATGGATACTGAGCCATCGGATAACTCGCGAAGGAATTCTGTCCAAGGTACTGATCAAGCTAAGAAACCATCTAGGAAGAAAAGACCTCGTTCGAGGTCTAGCGCAGCCGACAAATTACCCGCACAGTCTGACAATGAAATTTTACAGATTGAACCTAGAAGTAAAGTGCCGAATATGAACGAGAGAGATGAAGCTACATGGCTGTTGTAACTCCATACTCATGGAAATGAACATGTCAGCGGGACATAATTCTGTTTTGAGACTGACCGAGAAAGGACACGAGGTGCCCGCTCTACCATCACCCCGAGTTCATGGATCATAATCATTACTCTTATATGCATGCAAACAATATAGTTTCCTCAGAAAGCGTGTATATGAATAGACGGCCACCACTGCACTATGCTCCGTTGCAGAACCCGTGACATGGCTCATGAAGCTACTTATAATCTCTACAATCCAGTTGCCGGATATGACCCTAGTCACATTCAGGATGGGCAGCATCTGCAGCTTCCCGAGCCCGCTCACATCGAACCAATCGGGCACCAGAGAATAATGCCGCAATCTCTATACCTGCCGAAAATACTAAAGGTGATGAAATTACCGGTGACATAAACTATTTCGGTAAAGACACATTCCAAAACGAGCTCGATAGGCTATTGATCCTTTCTTTGATCACCAATCAGCAATATGTCATTTGATTTTGGAGGACTCAACAGTCCACCGTTCCATTTAGATGATTTCATAGGTGATGATGAAATGATCCAATACTTTGGAGCATAGAACATATCGAAAATAGTGACTCAGTAGAAGCTGTGAGTACTATTCTTCTCTTAAATTATGCTTTTAAGTTCTTATATCTCTACAAAACCTCACTTGACTTTTCTGTTGCATTTGTTTCATCTTTTTTTCAGAAATTCCAGCGCTTGTTGAAATTCAAAGGTTTATGCACTTGTTGAAATGGATGAAGGTAGGTTTCTGGGATTGACCATTAAAGTTACGCAGTTTGGCGCGGAAAGGTGCAATGATCTTAAAGTTGAGAAGTTGAGAAGTCTAGGATTTGCAGAAGTTGAAGCACCTATGTAAGAATATGGATTTTGTTCAATTAATTTTATCCCATTATCATGTCAATATGTTTTGGGTTTCATGTAAAAATGCATCAATTGTTGTTGAGATGGTTGAATATTTAGTTAAATTTCTTTTTGGATAGAGTTGTTGCAAATGCTTCTAAGTTTAATAAATTATCAGTGTTTGTTCTCATTTATGATGTTATCTTATTTTTGCTTGAGCCTTTCATCAAGTAGTCTAGTCTAGTGACTGGAATTCCACATTTTTAAAGTGAATAAGTGGGATATCGAGCACCGCCTTTGCCTCTAATGTTCCTGCACAACTACCAACTAAGTTGTCTTATCCGAGTGAATAGTCATCTAATGTTCCTGCACAACTACCAACTAAGTTGGCTCATCCGAGCGGATAGTCATCTAATGTTCCTGCACAGCTACCAATTAAGTTGGCTCATCCGAGCGAATAGTCATCTAATGTTCCTACACAACTACCAACTAAGTTGGCTCATCCGAGCGAATAGTCATCTAATGTTCCTGCACAACTACCACTGAATTGGCTCATCCGAGCGAATAGTCATCTAATGTTCCTGCACAGCTACCCACTAGCTAAGTTGGCTTATTAGAGCGAGTGACTTTGCATCTAATGTTTCTTGCACAGCTACCAACTAAGTTGGCTTAACAGAGCGAGGTTGATTTTAGATATAGGTGTTTAGATCTTGTTGGATCATATTTAAGAGTCCAAATCAAATTCGATTTTGTCACCTAATGTATCGTTTGGATATGTATGTATGAAAAAAAGCTCAATCTATTTTCATCACTAATAGAGGATAATGATAGAAATGTGGGTTAGGTGTGTGTATATGTGATGAACCTTTTTTCTTCTTCTTAGATGTGAGCAATCATATTTGTTTTCTTTATAGATAATTTAACATTAGAGTTTTCTAATTAAAACTAGCAAAATTCTACCATTGGGGAAAGAGATATACTGATGTTGCATTCAATTATTATTAATATAATAAAAATGTTAATGCAAATTTCGAAGTTTTTTTCAAAGTAATTGTAAAATGAAGTACAAGTTATTGAATGATATTTTAGAAATAATACCTTTGAATAAAATAATATTGATTGAAATTTGACTATGTTTGGATTAAAAATCTCTTAATGCAAAGTGTTCTAGCCACCCGCATATATATATATATATATATATATATATATATATATATATATATATATATATATATATATAATATATATATATATATATATATATAATTTAGTTGTTTTTGAGATTCACTTTATATTAAAATCAAAAATATATTTTCGATACAGTTTATATTATAAAATTTTAGGGTATGTTTTGGAAATATATTTTTAAAATGGTATTTTTGGTTTTTATAAAGTTTTTTTTTATATAGGGGTGTTATTAGAAATTCTCATTTTTTAATCATATAATAATCTAGTTGAGTTTCTACCGTTTCTTTTTCTTTTGTTTATAAAGTTGTTAAAATGGACTAATTATTTACATACATCAACTTAACATGTCACTTCTAAATTAAATATGCCACTTTCAATTTTATTTATTCTAAAAATGCTTTTAGGCAAATTTGGAAATGTCCAAGATCGAAATTTTAGATTTTTTATTTTAGGTGTTATAAAGTTCTTTAAAATTTAAATTTTGAAAAATATTTTTTGAAAAGAGATTGATGTTAGTGTAAAAAGTGAATTTAGTCCTCTCCTTTTATACTCTTTTTTTTTAAATGTGAATTTACATAAGTTATTCGGTCATGAGAAATGAGTCTTATTATTCACATTAGATTAACTTAATATGTCATTTTCTAAAATTAAATATGTCACTCTCCAATTTGATTTATTCTAAAAATATTTTTAGATAAATTTGAGAGTGTCCAAGATCGACATTTTCGGTTTTTTTATTTTTTGGAAATTTTGAAATATACTAAAATTTGCGATAGTGTAAAATTTTTTTTTTAAGAAAAGTGCAGTATTGAATTTTTCGAAATGAATCTTATGGTGGCATGTTAATTCCTCCGACTTGTAACTCTTTTTAGTTTTTTTTAATTTAATTTTAGGTGTTATAAAAAAATTAAAATTTGAAAAATATTTTTTGAAAGAGATTAATGTTAATGTAAAAAGTGAATTTAAGCCATTCCTTCTGTAACATCTTTTTATTAAATGAGATTTATGAAATTATTTGGTCATGAGAAATGGGTATTGGGTTAAAAATCAAGTTTTTTAATTAGACATCCGTATAGTCGTATCTCTCATGTAAATAAAATTAGTAAGATATTCGGGCGTTCTCACGGATAAATATATTTGATACGATATAACATATGTATCAAATAGGTATTGTTGATAGTGGCTCGTGAGATAGAAAATTAGTTCTTTACATGACTATTGAGTATTATTCAATTTAATACGATATAAAATTTATATAGATATACATGTAAATTTAAAATAAAGTACTCAATTGTAAAGTGAACAATGATCATATAAACTCAATTAATGTTAATTATAAATAAATAAGTATTTGTGCTGATAGTGACGCGTAAGATGATAAGTTAGTTGTCTGTACAAAAATAGAATATTATCCAATTTGTTATGGTATAAAATGTTGTTTTAGACTTACCCAATGGTTAGAATTGGCTCAATCCGCTCTTACTCTTGGCACGTTCCAATAACAAGAATCCACATTCTGGCCGACCACGCTCCAGAAGACGACCAATGATGCCCGATACGCGCCGCCTCACTTGGACGACCCGTATCCGCTTGTCAGCCGACACGAGTCGAGTAGACAACCAGGAAACATCCAGAACGACTATATGCCCGTAATCCACCTCCTCCTCGGAACCAACGAATAATTACGAGCACTACGTGCCCGTTTTGCACGAGTCCTGACAGTTACCTTTTTTTGCGGGCTCGCATATATAGGCTCAAAAATAGGAATCAATGGCCAAGTGCCAAGAATATATATAAACCCTCACTCATGTAAGGGCCAGGTAATACAAATATTTAAACCTTAAACCCTAATATTCTGCTTGTATCTCTTTGCACCCATTCTTACTTGATCGTCGGAGTGCCTTGCAGGTATAACCCTCATTTCTCCTCAACTTTCCAGCAAGCCAGATATCATACTTCGGTCTATTTGCAAGTTCTGATCAACCAGTAAGATCAGTGGCGCCGTATATAGGAAACATCTTCCCCATTTTCTTTCCTTGGAATTTGAATACCAAAGATACTCTGAATCCTTCAATCACGGTCGATCAATATAATCATCACCTCTTTGGAAAGACCGTGCTCTCCCCGGTCCACAAGACCGACGGAAGGACGATTTCGACGTCAGGGACGGGCACCCAGATTCAATCAACACCTAGCGCGACGACCATTAATTATTGGACGAGCAGCGTCCCAAGGACCATACCGAGGAATTTCCAAAGATTATGCAACCAGTTCCCATTCCTCAGAACTCCGACCCCACCATAACAATATTGCTCGCTGCCCTCAACCATATAATGCCCTTATCCTACAACAAAACAAGAGCATATGGATCTAGGAGAAGAAACAATCAAAATCCCCTCGTCGGAGGCACATACGACACGATTCCCCCAGCGTATCACCGCCAAGGTGTGGTCGTCCACTAAGAAAGGAGAAGCACAATGTTTCTTTCCTCAAGAAACATGATCACACACCTCTCAAGAAAGATCAGGGCTCTCCATCTTCCAAGAAGACAAAGAGTGACCGCCGGGTCGACCGCGACTGATCACTGTCGCCCAAATCAAGGCAGCAACGGAGAAGCTCATTCCCTCAATGAGACAATAATGCCCGACGAGGAAGGAATCATCACTCCCTGCTATCATCCACCGAAGGAAACGACGAAGACGAGCCTCGCAACCTGTTATCAAGATAGATTACAAATACCAAGCACCTGGTCGGCCTGGAGAAACCACCCCCACTGGGAACATACGATGATACGACTGATCCTGATGAACACATAGAAAATATTGACCCCCTCCTCGACTACCGAGGAGTAAGGGGAGCCATCAAGTGTAGAATGTTCCCGACTATTCTGAGGAAAGGTGCCGTGTCTTAGTACAAAAGCCTCCCGAATGAATCCATTACATCCTGGAAGCAGCTGAGGAAGATGTTCTCCAGGAATTTCACTTCCTCTTGCCGACATAGGGATGTCAGTTTGGACCTGTTAATGGGGATCCCCACGGGGAACGCCCCGTTCGGGGCCCCAAAGATGGGGAATTTTCCCCCGTGGGGGCGGGGATGGGGAGAAAAATTCCCCCGAGAGCATTTCGGGGACGGGGACGGGGAATACACCCCCCGCCCCGCCTATTATTTTAATATAGTTAATTTAATATATATATTTTAGATTAGGTTTTTTAGTCATTTCCTTTAGTTTTGATGAAGTATAGTTTTTTAAGCATAATTATGTTGTTGGATTTTTTTAGTTGTTTAGGCATATTGTTACTTTAAAAAGTATTATAGTTCATTTTGTTGAATTTTATAGCATTTTATAGAAATTTATAAAAAAAATATTATTATTTTGTGTTCCATTAGTATTTTTAATAAAAAATAATAAATGTCAAATACTAGTATTTTTTAATAACATAATAAATATGTGAATTCTTTGTGCTTTTTATTTTTATAGAAAATATAAACATTTTAAAAAAATAAAATATTAATGAATAAATGTAG